ATTTTTGCAAGTCTGGGTCACTGAAACCTTCCCACGCCGCTGTCTTATCAAATAGAGTTTCTTTGTTCTGTGCACTTAAAGCCAAAATCTTTATTTGCATGCAACAGTGCATCAATACCTGCATTCTGCATTCGTGCTTAAACTGTGATACAATTCGTGAACCAGTTCTGCAGACCGACATGTGGCCTTACATGGTGTAGTAGTTCAGATGATCAAACCCTGACCCCGGCCAAGTCTTTTGTTTTCCTAATATAAACCGAGCTCCTCCAGTATTATTACAACACACTGAAAGCTGGAAGTGATGCAGGACGAGTCTGCGGAGCAGCTGTTGAACTTACGTTGCACATCTCTCGCACAATGGCCTTCTCCTTCTCGCTGAGGTCGTCCTCGTAGTCCTCAGGAACCTGCTTGTCCAAGTTCTCGTGGACCTCCAGCACCTGATGGCAAACATAGCGATGAGTGTGCTTACTTGGAACAACGAATCGTTTTTGTGCGTAGCAAGCTGCCCGACTGCATCAATCAGAAACAGTGAGAGTGAAGAACGTCCATAAAGATGAGCTCAGTGCAGCTGGAACCAGGTTTTCAGAACAGTCTGCTTAATCATCTTTGGTTTCCCACATTTTTTATAGAACATTATATAGATATCTACAAAGATATTTGTGAAATGTTAGCTTGATATGTGAGATACTTCGATTTATAATTTTAACTGCTGACCTACTTTTTTTTACACATTAAAGTTTTAGGTTATATTTAAAAGACAATATCTCAACAACTATTAAAGATGAAAGTCTGAAATTTTCCCTGTTATTTCTCATTATGCCCTTTTTTAAGGATCCGCAATATTGGACAAATACATCAAATAGTTTTTGATATTTGGTGAGTTGAAACATGAAGCTGTAATGAAAGGTCCCATTAACAAAACAACTGATCATGCAGAAGTCAAACTAGAGATATTTTCTGAACTGTATGTAGTTGCATGTCAAAATAAGAAATAATACCAAATACAAAACACTTTCAATATGAAAAACTCGGTCAACAAAAATGAGAAAAAAAAATTGTTTTAGTTTAACTTTCATAACTGATGGAGCAGACGTGACGAGTTGCAGAACAGAGGCCTGGAGTTTCAAAATGATTTACAAAATATAGCCGAGAAAAGAAGAAAAGGTTTAACTTTTGGCCTTAGTTTTCATTTTCAGACCTACTTTGAGGACATAACACCTGGTTTAGAGGAGACTTGACATGTCGTTTTGTGTAATCTCGTTAATATTGTGGATTCTGAATGAATAACATGATGAGAAATAACAGTGAACATTTAAAGTTTTTATCTTTAACAGTTGCTAATATTGTCATTCAAACGTGGCCCTTACACTTCAATGTGGACTGACGGGCAATTTAAAAAAGAAAGTATTTAATATATGAATCTACAATTTCCAAGTGCCATTTTCAATATAAATAGTTTATTTCTTTTAACGACATTTGAGATTCTTGGGCGAAAAGGCCCCTGATGATTGAAGATAGAATAACCCAGTTGTGTAAATAGTCATAGATGAGTGTAACAAAAAGTGTACTGATGAAGTTTTCCCACCACAATTTCCTTAGAAACTAATTCTATATATTACCTTCATGGCGTGCACCACCGCCTCTGGCTTCTGGACGCAGGACAGGTATCCTGTGGCAGGAGAGGACTCGCTGGTTGGTAGACGGCCTGTACCCTGCAGGGAGACAAAGCAAATCTCAAGGTTTTGTGTCGTTTATTTCGGATGCGAGAGAAGAGGTGACCTGTGGCAAAGGTTAAGAGCTCAGGTTTGATCCTGAAGCTGCTACCACACATAAACCAGCACCGGCTCGCTGAGATCTTCATTTGAGCCACGACTGCAGCTAGAAAACAAACCAGACCCTCTTCATCAGTGATTCAACAAGAGAGATTTCTTGTAGTGCAGCACTGAAAATGCCATCGCCTTCATCCCAGCTTACATCACCTCTCCTCTCCTTGTGTTTTCATCCCCCCCCCATCGTTTTTTTTTTTTTTTGCATTCAACAAGCATTAAACTCCCAGGTCTGCTACCTGCACCGTGTGATTTAACCCGGTGTGATGGGAGCAGCCAGCCAGGATGAGGACCAGGAGGAGGCGGGGAGGGGAGTTTGTTTGACTCATCACACCCCCCGGTTAGTTCCAGACAGTGGCTCTCTGTTTGAGGGACACACAGATCTCTGGGACACACAATGGCACTATTCAGTGTAACCTGGCATCGGGGGCCTTGCATTAGACACAGCTCCGTGGCTCTGTTAGCCCCAGTTCAATTCTCCGCTCGCTCCTGATGCGTTTGTCAGTCGCTCCCCCATCCACCACCACCACCACCACCTCCTCCACGCCCACCGGCCCCATTTATGTGCCAGAATGAGCCACATAACCTGATAGCACGGAGATAAAATAATCAGAGAGAGGATGTGTGGAAAGTGGCCAGCAGTCAATTCATATCACATCAGCCGCATGGAACATCGATTTACTTTGTTAGTCCTGAGGGTTACGGCCCGACACCTGCTCAGCCAGCAACCACTAAAGCCAAGGAGAACTTTTAAAAAAAACTTTTAGATAGTAAAAGGTCAGTACGCCTGATTTACGAGTGAGAAAACAAAGAATTTTTTCCATTTTTTTGAAGCATAACTTGAAGAGAACATTTTATTCATGAGCTCTGAGATCAGGAAAAACAGGAATGTAAAGGTTAACTTTGGTTGTTTGGTGCTTTAAAAAGGCTGCACGCAAAAGTTTATCTTTGCAGACATAATATCTGAATATTATGTCAAAACAATATTTTTTTCCCCTCAATTCCTCTTTTGCAGAAACCATTTATTTAACAAAGGATGCTGAACTTCTTAATGTTGTTTTCAATACAGAAAAGTCAGAACATTTGTCTGCAGTATTAACACAAATGCTGTAACTGATCTCGACTGGTTTGAAACTTCTTGTAGCTGCCAGTCTCAGCTCTTGTTTTGCATTTTTTCATGGCATTTGGCACCTATATTTGTGCGCATATTAAGCATGTTAAATTTCTGCTTTTGTGAGTGGATTCCAGGGTTTTTGTTTAAACTTTTACATATAAATGAACGTCTGTTTTATTCAGCCATCGCCAAACACAACGCTGATTAAGTGGCAGGTAGATTTCTCTGCGTTCTCGCAGAGTTTGGGAAGTCTGTGGAAACATTCCCACGCTGGTGACGATGCGTCGTGCAGTAAAAAGCAGCGATTGCCAAAACTGACCACAGAAGCTGAGAGGGTGGAGAAGAACTAGAAAGCATTCAAGAAAAGTCCCTGATGCACCACGTAAAAGAGAAACTCGGCCGAATGACAGCCTGAAAAAGAAAGCAATCGACAGCGAGGCTTACGCATAAGACCACAGTGTTTGTGTAATTACTCTAATTACCAGAAGGGGGAGACAAACATTTGTCACTGCAGGTTTACATCAAAGTAATGGCTAAACAAAAGTGCAACATCTAAGCTAAGACTTTTTTTCCACACATTTCAGTTGAGTCAGTCCAAATGGAATCAGTTGAATCAGTGGGTCATTTGATGAGGACGATTAAATGCCATTTTGAGATAATCGTCATACAATCGCCTAACAGGGCTACGCCGAGTCGGTCTGTTCCGGCTACCGGAGCCCGACTTAGCAACAGCGGCTAATGGTAGTTTTTCCACTGCGCACAAGAGCCAAGATAAATCCATAAACATCAACTGAGCAGTGTGTCGGCAACAGAAAGTGACGCAATACGTTTGTTGCAGATGTCAGGCGTAAGTACGTTTATCGGATCAGTAGGAGCTGCTGTAATCCGCTAATAAATGTAATGATTTCACTCATTAATAAGTCGCTTTTCCCCTCAAATTTGAGTTTTTTGATGACATGTTTATGTCGTCGACACATTTCTGAAATGTAGAATAGCTGCACTGTAGACAAAGTGCAGCTCTACAATGTTCATGTATCTGATTTGTTTGTTGGATCCATCAGATGAAAAAAAAAACAACCACCTGACACTGCATCACATATCGGCCACTGATGCTCTCTGAACATTAGTGAGGGCCATTAAAAAAACAACATCGGTCGATATCTGTCTGCACTAATCTCCTTTGTGACCTAAAAACTAAAACTTGTTCTGCAGAACTTTTATAGGATGTGAGATAAAACATGCAAAACCGCAGGGAAGTTTATTAACTAACAGGAGCGGAGTCACGTCGACGGTAGCTATTTATGATATCCGCTCATTATTTAATGCATCACCAAGGCTTAGTCCACATTAGTGGGAAAATTATACAGAACAATCCTCTTGTTAAATAAAAGCAGCCTCCCCACTGAGCTCAGCGTGTTTCTTCTTGTTTAAGGTCACACCAACAAATGTAGCTGCTTCATTTTCCATACAGCTCCTCTGCGCCGGACTTTGAAGTCAACTACAAGAGAGAATATGTAAATCACTGTCACCCTGTTTTTTTTTTAATGTTCTCCTCTCCTGGTTACAGCTATTATTCCAAACGTGTAAACATTTCCTCCTCGCGCTGCGGCCAGGTTTTCCAGTTTATTCTGCGCCGGAGCTGTGCAGTGAAAGAAAAGGATTTGGACAGCGCAAAGACGCAGCCAGCTCCGGGCAGTGTTTACTGCTCATATGGATGTACATTTGGGGGAAGGCTTGCCTGCATAAACAGCCCTGATTTAGTCTTTGCACGAGGAGGCGGGAGGGGAGGGAAAGCAAACGCTGTCAGAATCAATGGTTTGGAGTTTGAGTTTACAAAATCAGAGCAGACTGTTGAGTGTTTGTGAGAATCACGCAGCCTGGCCGCCTTCTTTTCTTTTCTTTTCTTTCTTTCTCTGCGTATCGTTTCTTCTCTCGTTTTCTACCCGACAATCTCACGCACGCTCACTGACCTGAAACTGTGTCTGACTGAGACAAAGGGGCTAAATATAAAGGATGAGCTGATAGACTGGGAGGGGAGTCCTGCTGTTGTCGTCCCGAAGCCCCCACATCTCTCATCTCCTCTTTCACTCGTTCTCTCCCACACGGATGAACTTGAGCCAAATTAGAGCCCAGCCGATTGATCACCGCGCAGCCCGACAGCCTCCGTGGGGTTGTCACGACAACAAAGCCATCGTTAGACAAAGACGTAAAACTCAAGACACAATGGGTTCTTCTGCGCAACAGGCAACCGAACGTCCTGTATCATCGTAAGGTCGCGGATATTTCATCCTTTGTCGGACAGATCAAATAATACGTGCAGGCTACTTATTTCCAAGCGTTTCTGGTTTTTTTATGCTAAGCTAAGCTAACTGGCTACTAGCTGCAGCTTCTTATTTACCAAATAGGGTGATCCTTTTACCAAACCACTGTTGCTCTTTCTTTCCTTTGTCATACTAGCATTTTGTAAACAAAAAGTCAAAGCGTTCGTTGAAATCTACAAGAAAATACATTGCAGATGTGGATCTGACTGACTCAGAATCAGTTTAGCTGCCAAGTAGAGTTTCACAAATGAGGAATTTGACTTAGAGTTTTAAAGCATAACAGTAACATGTGCAATCAAAGGATTATAAACTATAAAAAGTAATAGAAATACTTCCAGTGTGCAGGAATGTGCAAATTAATCACCTGAGAATGTGCAAAGTTGAAGCTGAAGAGGGAAATATACACTTACAGCTCTTGACTTGGGTTATTTAGTCCAACATTAGTGTTACTTTTGCAGGTATGTGCTTGTAAAATCCAATTTAAAATCATTTTGCATCACACCAGTAAGCAGAATGTCTATTTCTTCTATAGCAGCTACATTCCTTATCACCTTTCTACCTCTACAAAAGCAATTTTTATTGCAGCAGATTTGTGGCAGATTCGCAGCAGAGACATCAGTATGCCATAACGTTTTGTCACAAGTTTGCACATGTTGGTCACCACTAACAGCCCTCCAGCTCCAAAAGTTCATTTCTATGTCTTACAGGATAATGACACAGAATGTTCCACCCTGCACGTTGACAGGATTGGTCCGTCTGGTTTGTTACATCTAAAACCGTAGAAGTCTGAATCCGTGTTTTGAAGGCTGTCATCTGTAGTTTCAAAACACAAATGCTCAGCCGTAGCGTTGCCTACTTATTTCACTTATTTTATGTATTGCAGTGTAGAAAAGCATCATAGAGGCTTGTCAACAGGTAAAATATTTGGTTTTCACTGGAAGGCGTCTTTAAAAAATCGACTGCTTGCCACAAGTTTTCTAGAAAGTTAGCAAGAAGTTCAGTGACCAAACCACTGAGCATAAGAAAATGTGACCTTGCTGCACATTTGCCACAACATTGCCAGATGTTACACACAACTGTTGGCCAGAAACCTGACCTTAGCTAAGCTGAGCATAGCAGCTAGTTTGTGTGATGCACCTGATTCTTCAAATTGTACCGCTAAAGCTGCAAGGTTAAGATTTTACAAACACTTGATGCCTTATATACAATTTCTCCTTTAATATATCCCCCACACGGCAGCATGTATTCATCTTTTCTGCCTCCTAATGGACCTCTGCATCGCCAGCGTCAGAATGACACCAGATGTCACGTCTAAGGCGCCTAAATTCACACCTCAAGGTCAACACAGTGACGTTGTTCCACGTGAAGCCGCGCAGTGAAATTAAATGTCGAAAGATCATAAAGACAATCTGCAGTTTATCCTTCCCCCCCTTCAGGGAAAAACCTCTTGCGGTGTCAGAGGTCACGGGCATTACTGAATGCCTCGAATCTCCAGAAGGAGGCGAGTTTGACCCGCAGGCTCGGAAGAAAGACGCGAGCCGGCTCCGAATGCCTCGCGCTGAGCCTGTGATTAAAACGCAATATTGATTTTTTTTTTTTTTTGTACAGAGGGAAGATTTAGTCCTCTGGGTTAGTGGCGTAGCCCCGACTCTGACCTTCCTTAAGCAGTCAAAAAACAATTACCAAGCCTCTCCTCCCCAGACACAGGCCGGGTCAGGGGTGGAGGTGGATTGTACAGGATTATTTCTTTCATTGTGGGATTCGGCTCGATTGGGCTCCGGGGAATGAAAACTGAAGGGCCGGATATGGGAGGAAGAGGAACTTTTAAATTTCTATCCTTCTTCCTTTCTTGTTTCCAGTCCATCTCATCCCCCTTATGCCCTATTTCCTTTCACTCTCTCTGTGAGTTCCTTTCCTGTCATGTGTAACAGAGAGTGCCTGTGGAGGTATAATTTGAGAGCTAGAAGTAAAGAAGTGAATCAGAGCTGACTCGACTTGACTCCGCAGCGCAGCTCTCCCTGCAATTAGGCTCGTGTGCAATTAAAGCCTGTCTCTATATGTAACCGCACTTCTATAAGCAGCGCTGATCTGTGGGTATTGTCTAAGCGCTGAGGTGTGAGTGGGCATGAATCCATCTGAGTGTTCGCATGCGGTCGAACTCCTTCGTGCATGCGTGTTTGGTGAGCGTGTGCATGTGAGTGTGCACGTGCGTGCCAGTCTCCTGGGTACTGACCATGTGCATGGCTTCCTGGCGCTGCGGCAGTGAGGACAGCTGGGACTCTGAGTGGTACAGAGTCATTCCCTTCCTCAGGGCACGGAGGTCACCTGGGTTACACTGCTGGGCACAAACGGGCACAACACAAACAAACACCAAAAAAAAAGGAAAGAAAAAAACACAAAAAAACAAAGAAATGCAAAATGAAACAACAACATAAAAGAAGAAACAAAACAGATAGCAGACTTTAATGCCATGTCAATGCCTAAAAAATACCCAAAGAGTATTAATAAATGAGTATTAGTAAAGTTAAAGATAAATGAACAAGCAGGTTTTTGCACTGATTTGACTTGAAAAAATATTTTTCACAGTTTTAATTTCCATCATTGCCTCTGTCAGTGTATGCTTACATATTATATAAACCTGACTCTATATCACTACTCCAATTGTCATATTTCTGCCAGACCAGCTCTGATTTGCCTGAAAATTTAATAGCATGAAATATGAATATTTATAAAGATATCTAGGAAATTTTAGATTGATATATCAAATACTTTTTAAGATAAATGTTTAAAGGACAATATCTAGGAACCATTAAAGTTAAAAGCCTGTTATTTTTCACCACGTCATTGATTAGGAATCTGCAATATTGCAATAATCTCGAATTATTAATGAGCTTAAATAGGAAAAAAAAATCCTGCATGTCCCATCTTTGAGCACACATGAACAAAAAATTGAATTGTCAACTCCTGATATTTGCCTGATCACATGTACATGCATGTTACAATTACACAAAACAAAGCATAAAGAGTTCTTTCACATTTTAAATAGTTGCCCACAAAAAAAAAGAAAAGAACTTTCATAACTGAGCAAGTATGACAAGTTGTGCCACAATACTGCAAGATAATCAAAGTAGAGCTTTGAAATGTCTCTTCAGCTATAACTAAGAATAAAACATTTTTAATTTGAGCATTTTTGATCATTTTCAGACTGAAATTTGAGGCTTTTATCCTCAATACTTCCTGAGATACTGTAATCAAACCTTAGACTCAAACTGCAATGTGTAAATAAATATTTTTGAAGGCAGTTGGAAGAAATTGCTCAAAAAGTACTTCATGTATCTATCTAAAATTTCACAGACACCATTTTAAATATCAGTAATTTATGATAACAAAAGCTTCAAGCAAATCAGAGGCGGTCCAGCAGAAGGCTCCTGAAGATGTGAGAGGGAATATTCCTACCATTTTTAAAATCACTAGATTTTTGAGACCGATGCACGTATCAATAATGATATTTGATGGAGATAAAGATGTACTGAGTCAGATATTTGCACACAGACAGTTTTGAGTGCCACATAAAGCATTAAAAAACAAAAGGGCATGTTTTTAGTGCAACATTTAACCATTTTAAAATAATCGTTCCATGTCTCTCTGGCAATTGGATTCATTAGTGCTGATATATTTGCTACAATAAGTTAATTTTGTGTCATAGTGGAAGAGCAGATTTATTAGTGTTGATATTTTACAGTTTAATTAAAAGTGCACTCTTCAAAAGGAAAACAGAAAGCAGCAAATAATACGGAAATATAACTCATTTTAAATAACCGCAAATGAAAACAAACCAGAAAACAGAACTAAACTGAACTTGAACAGAGGAGAAAAAAGCTGCCAGCGTAATGTTCATCAGACACCGCTGATAATATATCTGCAATGAGCCCATATCTGCCTGCTGACGTCTCCATTTGGCTCCACTTTGTGCACTGCAGGCCTCAGTGAGGGTTCATTAAGGTTCCGTCCTCCTCCTCCTGCACCACCACCTGCCCTCCCATCGTCACGCTGACGCCACTGCTTATGCGGCTCCACGGCTACAGACGCTGCATCACGTTGTGCCCTCATCGGAGGCCATTATGCAGCCACGGCGGCGTTCCTAAGATTTGTCCTCATTAGCAGCCAAAGACCACTGCGTCCTGGGGGCAGCGACCGGACCGGCTCCCCCTCTGCAGGCGGGAACACGGCGGCACCGCTGTTCCTCATGACATTTTCTCACATCGCGCACTCGTGTTCCCTCTCTGCGCGCGGCCCGCCGCGTAAACACACGTGATGCCCGCGAGCGCTCGGCTATAAATAACCCAATGAGCTGTGGGTGTGTGTGTGTGTGTGTGCGTCTGTGAATTGGACATTGTGCTGTGTTGTTTGTTATCCCTCTGTGTCGCACACTCAGGTGCACACTGCGCACACAAAGCCACAATCAGCATTCCCCTTGTCTCCTCCGTCCTTTGATATCCTCCCCCCTTCCTGTTCTCTCCTCCAGCTTAGTATCCTGCCAGTGTTCTTCTAACCTTTCCAATCCTTCCCTCGGCACTTCTTGATCTATCCTTTGGGTTTCCGTATTCTTGCCCTCAATTCTCTACCTTTGCGATCGTCTCTGTCATTTCTCGAGGCTTTGTGTTTAGAGAAATGTCAAATGAGGAGCAGCCGCATAAACACACCAGTCTAATCCTGAGTCTGGCTTTTCCAACAAACCAACACATGTCCTCTCCAACTTTACTTCCCACCCTGAGCTGACCTTGAACCGCCGAGACCAACAACGCTATTTGTTTGCCAGACGGCCGAGGACAGTTGGCCCTCCGCAGTCTTCTTGGCGTAAACTCAGGGTTCTTCCGTCTATCCATCCATCACAGTGTTCTTGGTGCTGACGGGAAGAAGCTGTGGACGTCGCGCATGGTTTCCTGTCTGAGTTATGAGGGGCAGGAGTGCTGCCACTTTGACAAAAAGGTTCGAAAGGACAGCGGTGTGCTCCTCGAGAGCGGTAATTTAATGGAATACAGCGACGGGACGGTTTAATCCGAGCAACCTGCGGTCGACAAACAAAGGTCTGATCGTAAAAATGTCATCCGTATTAGATTTTAACCCTCCGAACTCCTAAAACCTGTCAAAAAACGCTCTAAAATAACACATTTATCAAAGCCAGAAACGATCAAAACACAAAGAAATTTCCAACATTTTGATGGTCCTTGAACTCATCACATGTTTTATTAAGAAAATTAACCAAATATAAGCTTGAAATCGTGATATTTTTTCACAATCACTTTATTTGACATTTAAATATTTGTCAGAAATCAACTGCTTGCACCAGATTTAGGGAAAATCTAAAAACGTTGCCGCGAATCACTTCGTCTGACCAACAGTCAGATGGTAAAAATTTTTTCGAGTGAACTGCAGGCAGTGTTTATGCATAGTCGAAATAATTCGATCTTGATCAATAAAAAAAATGCAGTATGGCTCAAAAAAGACATACAGAGGAGCGATTTGCCAACAGAGCCTGATGAAACAGCTCTCGAGTTGTATGGAGAATGATTTGTAGAGGTTATAAAAATATAAGAAGTAAAGTATCTATAACATCTTGAGTTATCTTTTTTTCTAATATATTGAACACTTGTGGGTTGTTGACTCCACTGTTATCTAAATATTTGTGAAATAAAAAAAGAAATTCAACTTTGTCTTTGTCTAGTTATTGATTTACGGTGTTATAACTTTCCAAAGACATTTCTAAGTTCTCTGTACTGTTTCCAGAGAGGTGCAGGACTTTATATCGCAGTGAAAAATGAGCCAACAGTGAGTTAAAAACGTGACAACTTCTTGGTGTTCAGAGGGTTAACAGCTGAATACTGGCCTTTTTGTTTTATACTTGGATGATAAACTAGCGGGGTGAAGACCTGGAAAAGGCAGCTTCACTTAAAAAAACAAAAAAAAGGTAATTAATCGTATAAAATTCTTATTTCAGTGGTCAAAATCAAAGTGGCTGATAAGAACAGAGAAGCCTGGGTCCATGGGGGGGCTTGAAAGCAGTAAATTATCCCTCACACGAACCACATCCCCAATCCATCTTCTTTTAGCTAATCTGATTTCTCAGTCCATAAATCAGTCATATTGTAACTTTGTCGACGAATACGCCTCAGTTCATTAGCCTCTGTCATAATTCGAGTCCACTGGACCCCGCTGCAGTCCACTCTGTGACAAAACGAGCTCAATTAGGCCGCAGTTAATGGATGGAGCGTCGGCTGAATCCGTCGAATAAATCATTACATTTTCAGAGTCACACTGAGCGCTTACTTGTTCGTGATAAAGTGGCAGAGGGGAAAGTGCGAGCGTCTCACGCTTTGGAGAGTTTTAACGGCGATAAGTAGAAGTCGGGGAGAGTGGAGTGGGAGAACACGCATGTGTCCCAGCATGTATGATTGTTACTGTGTGCGTACACACACCTGGTTTTCTTTCTGTGTTTACACCTGTACCGCGCAGGCTCTTGTTAATATCCACTGTGGGAGCCTGTTGTTAACTCCCTCTCTGCTCCCTTCGGTACACTTAAAATCCTTTTAGCCAATCTGGTTGGGAGGTTAAACATTCCTGCAATAAGAGGCTATTGTTTCCTTTAGCTCCACACGAGTTTCACTGGGCCAGTTTCATAACACAGGAAGTTAGGCAATGCGTCCACTGAGGCAACTAATTCCACCTGCTCGCATTCGGACACGTCGTCCAATAGGATGTGGCGTAAGAGTCAAATTAAATCACGAACGGCGGCGCACATGCTCATTTTTTCCCCTTCCACTTTTTTTCCTCCTTTCCAGGAAGTTTATTAGCGACATCAAGATATTGTTTCCGAGCTTCACGCAGACACTGCTTCAGTTGTCAGTCATGCATAATGGATTCCTGGATCTACCTGTGTTTCCCCCCAGTATCTTAAATTATTCAGCTCACCAGACGTCTCAACAAGCCAGGTCAAGCGTGTGTCATTTATGCACCAAAGCACAATGTAGCATCCATTCACTTAAGCTACTAAACACTGTGAGGTGCAGCTCCAAGGACAGATAAAGGCTTTCCTGCCAAGAAAAAAAAAAAGGCCACATACAAGCAAGGCCACCTGTGTTCATTCATTAGCTTTGCATGCCAGCAGCACATAAAGCGGGCTGGACACAGACTCAACACCTCTACAAGGTAATGCAATCCAATTCTTTTGCTCTTACTAAAACTGGCACAGTTTCATGGTGATTCACCTCTGCGGTAACGTTTAAGACTGTACTTTATTGTATTGGGAAGACGGGAAATCAATACCGCTCTCGTGTCTGGATGGTTAATAAGAAGCCACAGTCAGGGAAACTGGTTGGTTTAGTTTCTAAGAACACAGGGAAACGGGGTCAAAGTTTGTCTGACTCGATCCAAAGTGGAGCTTGATGCTGATTTCTGATCTGTATCAGTGTATTTGTCTGCTGACAAGTAACAAGAAACTGCAGAGCAGGAATACAAACATACATTTGAGGTTATTGTAGCCCTAACAAATCCATTTTTCAGCTTTAAAGCAACTATTAATGATCCGTGTCAATGATGTTTTTCATGATATGTGTTCAAGAAAGTCATAGTTAAAGTTACTAAAATTATTAGTCAGCCAACATATTGTTAATGATTTATGTTAGTACCTACTGGCACATCTAAAACTTACTAATAGATGTTTTTGCTTAACAAACTTGGAATGTAAATACAAGACGTGGAATTCTTTTGAGTGCCTTTCTTTTGTAAGCGTTTGCTTTGTTAACGTTTGAATTTGGATCGGCGATGGACTAACAGCAAAAGCTCTGTTTCCAGCCACCCTTATCAATAAAAGCAACACATAAAGTTATATTACCTTCTGATCTTTCCCACAGCTTGAGAATATACTTTCAGTGGTTGGTGTGGCAGAGACTCTTAGAGAGAAAAAGCGTAGCACAGGCTGTTTTTAAAAGCTACAATTTACAGATGTACCATAAACACCTCATGTGCAGACAATTTGTAGATACTGCAAATTTACAGATGTTCCCTAAATGCCTCACGTGCATCAGTTGACAACCAAAGTGGTCAGTTGTAATATTCAAGCCCTATTTAGTTCACACAATTAGGCCTACTGGTGGTAAATCTCTCTGCATTTGTGTTTGCATATTAGTAGCAATGCATTTTACAAGAACCAGCAGTAACTGGCGAATAGAGATGCAACAGCTAAGAATGTAGTGATGGTGGACAAACCTAAGATGCAATCAAGAATGCAGGTGAAAAAGAAATTTACATTAAGAGGAGGGATTACGGCCACTTGTTTCCTGTGTTCATGCTAAGCTACGCTACCTGGCTGGAGTTTCATGTTAACTGCAGACATGAGCGTCGCATCGATCTTCCCGTCGAACTCTCAGCAAGACAGCAAATAAGCTCATTTCCCACATTACCACAGAGTTCACCAACACAAACTGTAACATTATACCATCAAACAGATCTCACAATGAGTTGCATTACATTGCACAACCGTTGCTTTAGTCGCATCCGCCCTCCGCAGCAGACAAAGCGACAAGCTCAAAGCCCTGAAAAGTCCCACCACCAGAACAGATGAAAGAGTGGAAAAGACACAAAGGGGCTCAATCACCTGGCGAGAAGAAGAAGAACCAACAAACAGGGACATTTCAGAAAAGTTACCTTTTTCGTCTGTATTTGTGATAAGCTATACCGGCTATAAGCCTATAGGGAGAGAAAAACATAATGGTGGAAGGGTTCATTATTTTATTTTTCGTCTATTGTTAACAGCAGTGGTAGCAACTGTAACGTCTCTGAGCTCCACGCTAAGAGATCAGACGTGGTGAGGAGGCATTTGAATCGTCCTGTGCTTCTCACAACTGTTTCATAATGTGCAGTGATAAATTATCAAGAGTTCCATTCCTGCAAAAAAAAAAAAGAAAAGAAAAGGAAAAAGTACTTATCCCAGCCTCTAATGTAAAAAGAAATAAGACACATTATCACTTCGACTATAAGAAGCTGGTTCCTATTATGCGTCCTGACTGCTGTAGCACCTAATTGTAGCACTAAAGAGCTAATTATGAGGATCATTTAGGTTTCGTATCAGTGATTCCAGCAGCCTACACTCTGCCTACACGTGAATCTGCTGGGAGATAATTGGGCAGAGAGGAATCAGTTAAAAAAAAAAAAGAATAAAGGCTTCAAATAAAAAAAAAAAAAGCCACTTAAACTGTGAAATTCAACTTCGTCTGCAGCCTGACTTGCATTCAAATGAGCTCACAAAAACCTTGTGATACAACATAAAGAGAGCAGATTATAGATTAAAGACTCTTTCTTTGCTGATAATTATTGACTGATAACTTTGAGAAAATCTGATCCCCCTCTCATACGACCAATTAGTCGGTGAATCTGCTATTTGTGGTTATGAACACACACCTCAGCAGACTGACATATGACCTCCTGGTGAACCAGACAAGAATTCCACCCCCTCCTTCCTCGCACTCACTCAGCCCTCCATCCTCCAAATTTAGGAGAAGTCAGAGCAAGGTCAACGTTGGGGAGAAATCCTTTACTCTGTCACTGTCACTTAATGCCTCTTTCCCCTCCTTTTTCCTCTTCTCATCTCTCCTCTGCTCCCACACTTCGCCTCGGGGGCTAACATCACTGCTCGCGACTGAAGCTAACTGACTCCCTATGAATTAAACATGGATAAACATATTCTCCGACTAACAGGCAGCCTGTTGGGGGGGGGAGGCATCAGCCAACCAGTGCGTGCCATCGCGGCTGCCGATCACTCGTTTTCGGAAAGTTGCACAAGAGGAGAGTTTTAGTGAGAGGTATAAGTTCAGATGGCGCTGAAGTGGGTTGACGGAAAGAGGGCGAAAACGGTGGCGTCGGCGGTTGCCTCACCTGCGAGAGGAGCTTGTTGTTGTCGTCTTCCAGTATCCTCACTTTCGTCTCCAGCTGCCTGATGTAGTTGGAGGAGGAATCTGGAGGAGAGACGGAGAAGAAAAGAGGGGAGGAGAAGTGATTAGCATTTCAAAGACCTCAAGCGGAAAACAGGCAGGCAGGCAGGCAGGCAGGCAGGCAGGGCCACTGAGGCAGAAGGACCACATAGAGCTCAAAAGGTTGCTGTGCACTTTGAGAGACCCGCAAACTCGTCCTGAAAGAGCTTTCTCCAAGCGAGGAGTTTAACATCATAGTTAGGTCTCAAGCTCAAATAAATGCAGTACAACTAAACTGTGATCTTCTACTCTGAAGCTCCCTTGACTTCATAAAAAATAACTTTTCCACAACTCCAAACCAACATCTGATTGAGCTGGTTTTGTGTTGAAATTAGAGCTGCTACTGACCATTATTTACACTGTCTATCAATGACTTCCTCGATTACTCTGTTAATGGTGAAAAACATCGATCCAAGTTTGTCAGAGTCCAAGATAACGTCCTTAAATGTCCTGTTTTATTCATCATAACCCAAAGATATTCAGTTTGCTATCAGAAAGGAGGAAAGAAACTAGAAAATAGTCCCATTTTAGAAGCTTTAAGCACAGAATTCTTAAATTATTTTAAAGTTGACAACCAATAGACAAAACATTGCAACTCTAGTAGAAATCTATCAGCTTCGGCGACAACTAAACTTGTTTTGTTATCAATGAACCCAATCATTATTTCACACTTAAAGAGCCCCTTGTTATGCACGTTTACATGTCTACCATTTTATTTTTTGAGGTCTACTAGAATATGTTTACAAGCTTTAATGTCAAAAAACACAGTATTTTTCTCATACTGTGCATTGCTGTATCACCTTTTCTTGCTTTCTGTCTGAAACGTTCAGTTGTAGCTCCTGTCTCTTTAAGACCCTCCACCCGAAAAGCCCAGTCTGCTCCTATTGGTCAACTTTCCCCAACAAAAAAAGAGGTAGTGTCTGTGTCATATCATAACCCTGAAACTATGAGTCTATTTACAGAAATGTAGCTCTCACACAAGTGTAATGAAGAAATAATGACTGGTCATTTATCGTTTGCATTATGCAATTGCGTTACATGGTGATGTAGATAAGTAACAAAAGAAAGGCATCAACCACAAACATGCAAGGCACAGAAAGAGAAGGAGCACCGGCTTCTGCGGGGGGCGGGGGAAGATTAAAAACCCAGAACATGCACAAAAAAAAACAAAACACACAAAACAAAAAAAAAAAACAAAAAACCAAAAAACAGAATATAGAATAGATAATAGAAGTCCAAAAAACAAAAAAAGAACAAACAAGCGCCCAACCCTACAGCCTAGAAGCACGGGCAAAACGAAAAAAAAAAAAAACAAAAAGGTTAAAACCCCTTCCTAAAACCAATTTAAGTTTTAATTAACAAACTTAAATATAAGCCTATTTGTAAAACTGGACTACTTCTAGTATCGCTCTGCAAATGTGTTTGCAGTGTGTTTACAACGTCCTTGGTCCACATTTCTCCTGTGCAGCTTGATTGTGCACGAAACAGACATAATTGTCACTTTCGAGATTTGTCACAGAACCGTCTTTTTCTTCTCTATGCAAACAGAGCAACAGAGGCCTAATTACTCCACCGAGACGCACACAAACGTCGTTGATCCCGATAAAGCGGCATTCAGCGCAAACATGAATCAACTTCGCCGAGTTCAAACCCGGGACAGGAGCTGAGCGAGAAGAGTGGAGGTTGGTTCAGTAGGTGGCACAGAGCCTGTTATCTAAAAAGGCATGTTTAATTTACAGCGAGATCAAAGCCGAGTTACGCACAGGAACCGCACTCTGGCAACTCGTCAGGAGCTCGGCGCTGCGCACACAGCTTTATTTTGTTTTGTTTTCTAAGCGGAGCTACAGAGAGACTGAGAGAGGAGACGGTGGCGGGTGAGATGTAACAAAGCCAGTCGGGAGGGTTCCTGATGAGAATGATTTGTGGAGTAAGATGCACATGAGAAGTGACTGCTGCAGGGCAACGCACACATACATCAGAATCAAAGACTGCTGTATCAGGGAGGGAACTCTGACCTTAGTTTGGTTGTACTTAATGTAGTATTTAAAGTAGTCGATGTGCACTTTGCTACCACTGTGCAGAAATCAGATGTTCAACACATACATCACTGACAGCCTGCATTCCATAGATTTGCAGCTACATGCACACATTCAGATTATAGCTGCACCCTGTTTCACACATGGATAAACAACAATATGTTTTCATACGCTTAAGGTAAGACGTGCTGTCAGCTCTCTGCAGGTCTCATGGAAAACAACAATCACAGTAATAGATTGGATCAACCAGTTCAACAAATGCTACATTTCTGCCTGAGATTGTTGTTTTTGGTCCATTGTGTGCTTAACTGACTTTGTAGAAGCTTTTGAAACAACATGTTTCCAAACATCCAAATATCTTCCACGTTGTTAAACTCTGTTTAGGCTGCTGCCCGCGTGACCCAAACCCGGATCGGCGATCGAATCACATATGAACGGATGGATGTTCCCAAAACAGCTAAATTCAAAATCTGACTTGCGCTGTACAGTAGATAACACTTTAACAAAAAACCAGGTTTCCACAGCGGAACAACAGACTAATTGTGAATTTCAGACACACACTGTGCTCTCTCGGTGTTGAGTCCTCTCATTTTAGCATCAGTCCAAATGCTCTGGAGCATAAACACTCTGAAAACATGGCAGAAATCTGATTTCTAATCAGAAGCATGTTTGACAGTGTCCAGGTTACTGAAGTGCAGAAGATTTTTCTTTTTTTTTCCTGCTTTTGTTGGGTTTATTGGGTGCCACCCCCTTAATTATGCATAATGTGAAGCTAAATACAATTCATTCAGTTGTGTTTTATATAAAAACACCCCTTGTGTATTTGTCATGGATGGGGAGTTATCCATAGACACCAAAACTGTTTTTGTACCAGGCTCTAAACACATTTATTTCTGCTCTAAAGTTGTACATTTTAATATTGGAGTCTGTGGGGACTGAGCTGATGTTGAATTCAGCCTCTAGTGGTCATTCGAGGAACTGCAGTTTTTGGCATTTATTGTTTTAGTCTCTGAGGTTGATGCTTTGATTGCACAAACTTGATAAAATTAAGTATATATATAATATATATATAATTTCTAACATGTGAGTACTTCAGCTAAATCTCAAATACATTTTTTTTTGTTATTTATCAGTAAATCCAGCATAACTTCACATGCACAAACTGGATCCTCTCCCAGAACCTGAGCATAAACAGGCGGTGAGTGACAGCAGGCCTGTTCATGTGCAGCCCCTTGACTTTTTAGGAGGGCCGCTGCAGACAGCTCTGGTGAGCTGACGGCTGGACAGCAACAAGAGGAGGCTACAGTGACCAGAGCTGCTAATCCTCTCTTCCTGCCTTGTGACCCTCTAATCTGTATTCATCTGCTGGCCTGACCTGCAGCCAGATCTCAAGCCGATTAGGACGTAGGTTCCTCAGCCTTCAGTTATCAGCAACACACTCAAACAACAAAGAAAGGAGACTCCGAAAAAAAAGGGGGATGACAGAAAAATATACTTTTTTGGGTGGTGTGTGCCATCTGTGATCCAATAACCTCCCATTTCCATCTTCTTAAAACAAATTAAGATATGCAATGAGAGCTAAATATTGATGCATTTCTGGTTTTTTTTACTGAAGAAACCCAGTCTGAAGTGAAGAATCCCACATCCATGAGCAGCCTGTTCACATACCACAGCAGCAGCTCTCACTCCCACTCTCTATATACAGTATAAAGCCTTTGATGTGTTATAGGGGGCTAAATCTCTGAGCGCATCACTCCGGCATCACACATGACATGATTAAGCGGTCCTTCTTAAATATGTGCAGATCTGCTGTGGGAAAATTCACAGGAACACACAACACTTCCCATGCACACACACACAGCGGACATGCGCAGAGCTGCAGGGATCTGCTCTGAGGATCCAGCCGTCACCCTCTCTTTAACACCCGGCTCCGGAGAGTCATCCTGGTGGGAGAAGGGGTCAGGCAATTAAACTGTTCCCCTGCTCCCCTGCCACTCCTTCATCCTTTTATCCCCTCCACCCCTCCGGCTTTACATCCCCTGCTCTTCGCTGCTGCTGCTGCTGCTCCACGAAGAAGAAGAAAAAAAAAAAAAAAGATCATACAGGCATTGCATAGCCGAGCCAAAATAATTACCCCACAAAAAGTCAGCTCGCCCGCTTTTATACACAACAAGCACCGAGGGAGAGGTCGTTATTACTTATGCATAACCTGAATGCAAACTTGAGAGCTGATAAAGTGAGCACAAGGTGCTGTGAAGATGTGGGGAAGTAAAATATGTCCAACTAAGCAGTAAGCAATACAAGAGAGGGAGACATGAAGCAGTGAGGGGGAACCTTGTCTTTACAAGTAATCTATTTATACCTCTGTGTAAGGTTTGTTTGCCCAGTGCATTGAGCTGATGTATCTGTACCAGAGTGTGTGAATATTTGTGTGCGCAGGACAAAAGGTGACGCAGACAGTGGTGCGAGTCCAACCCCCCTCTCAGCGCGTCACTTTGAATCACGTCAGTGGCACTGTGACCCACTTCCAGCAGCCACTCCCTCCTTAACGCTGCCCTTCAGTTCCTCCGTTTTATTACGTTCCTCTACTTTAACCACTTGGCCCATTGTGGGCTCTTTTGTGCGCTCAAAAAACAAGATTTAGGGCCTGTTGGTCAAGTTATCTGCATATTGATGAGGGAGCGAAAAAGACAAAAGGAGAAAGTTGGTCTGAATGAAGCTCCAAAAAACTTGGTGTGATCCCTCACGAGGTCCTGACCTCCACCGGCTCGTCTTTGTTTTCCGCCCGGCTCCAAGCATCCTGTTCCCATCTGTCCATAACAGCTCGTCTAGCTTCCCTCTGCACCATCTCACTGTTTCTCTCAGACAATTTATTTTCCCAGATAGTTTTAGTGCCATTTGGAAAGGAGCACAATTCTGCACCAAAACACGAATGAAACCAACTGTAGAGCTAAAGCTGCATGAGAGGGTTTATGTGTGTCAACATGAACTCAGCTTAAGCCATGTAATGCATAAGAGTTGTGTACATCGAATGCATTGAATGCACGTCTGCTGTCATAAATGAAAAAGCTGATTTTTAAAATGATTTTAGGTAGTGCAATGTTTGCATACGAGTCTTTGTGCATTATTTCCAAGAACTGTTGACTAGTGGCAGAAAGTGTAACCAGCAGTACAATGTGAATCATGTATATGTGCATAAACTAAATAAAAAACAAATGAGGAAGTGTTGGAAAAAAAACAAGCATCAACCTCCGAGGCTGAAAAATGATGCCACCGCAGCAGTGCAGTTCCTCGAATGGCCACTTGAGGCTGTCTCCAAAAGCGAGTCATTCCTATAGACGCCCATGTTAAAATGTCCAACTTCACAGCAGAAATAAACATGTTTACAGCCTGGTGCAAAAATGGTTTTGATCTCTATAGTTAATTTACACATTTATGACAATGCATGGAAGGTGAATTTTTCTACAACTTGCACATTTAAATTATATTAAGGCTTAAAGTTATGCATAATTACAGGCGTGGCCACTTTGAAGAGCCGCTCCATGCTTACACGTGCTTGCTCTTATTTTTGGATCAGCATAGATACCAAGAGACATATGCATAAAATCATACAGATTCTATACAAACAACGTCAACATGCATGTGGTAACAATTCAGTCAGTTGTTTCACTACAGTCATCCATAGATTGTGTTGTGCTTTGAAGCTGCAAACCTCCACAGGATGCCTTAAATTGCTGTCACTGCATTTCACAACAAATCTGCTTCGAGATTTATATGCACAGTAATGCCTGGCTACCTAGAATGGTCGAATAAATGTAGTAAACGGGAAACAATATAAGGCAAAGACTCTCTTTTTGATAGGTGCACTAGCATTCTCCTCCTTAAATCTGTAGTTTTCCTTTCCAGCTGTCTTTCTCCCTGTCACACCCTCCTTGCATTTTGCTTCAAATCCCAGCATGGGACTGGTGGGTGGGACTGGGTTTATTGGAGGTCAAGGCAGGCCACTCTTTAAGGAGCAAATTGGGGGAGTCCAGACGGAGAGCCTGGAGTCAGACATGCTTCCAAAGGGGTGCTGCAAGAATTAGCTCAACTGGTGTTAAAATTAGACCACACATGTATACATTTACACTGGGCATTTAGCCCATACTGACGGGAACGTTGCAAAACCAGCCTCCACGCTGTTGACTTCCAAAGTCTTTGCTACATCAAAGTAGCTTTGGTAAAATAGTGTGGTTAAAAAGGAGCAGGCTTTGGAATCCCCTCATGTTTTCAAGTCAGATCCCAAGGCTGTTTAGAAGCCTGCAGTGCATTGAAATCACTGCGCTTTTATTATTCCTGGCTCGGCTCTGGCTTTCATCTCCTATTCACAGCTGTATCTCAGTGTTTTAGCGCAGAGACATGGATATTCTCCCAGCGATGTGTGTATGTGTGTGAATGAATCCTTATGAGCAGCATTTGTAAGACGGTGGAGTGCATGTGGGCTGCACGGGTGTCTAAGCTGACAGTGTGAGTTTGTGTGGGAGGGAGGGTTTGTGCGAGAAAAGGGGATTTTTTTTTCTTCTTCTAAACCCATCTGTGATCGCACTGTATGTGTGTATGTGTGTTCAAGGCGGGACGAGGTTGGGTCAATTACCTCAAGATGTTGAAGAAAGAGCAGAAACAGTCCGTACTGTTTCCCTCTCCTTTCTCTGCGCCCACACCCAAGACAAACTACAGCGAATTCCATGAAATCAGACCTCGCTGTGTTACAGAAAGTCCAATTATCGCAAGAAAACATCTCGATCGACCGGCAACTTCCAAAAAAACTCAATGCGGAACAGACCCGATTCATGCTGGGGAGTGCAGGCTGAATGAGGCCCACCTTTAAAAAAAAAAAAAAATGGAAAAGGAGGGAAAGAAGAAAGACTTAAGAGGGAAAAAAGAAACAAAGAGTCACAACTTGGTGCCAGCGAGGAGAGCAGTAATCAAAAGAAAGTAAGAGCCTGACTAGGCTGTTAGTAATTACTCTCATTGTTGTCTAATCAGCTGACTCATTTTGTCGTTGGCTCATTTATATTCAGAAAACCTTCTATCACAATTTCCCGTAGATGCACAGTCAAGTTGCTTGATTTTTGTCCATCCAATTTCCAGTCCAGACGAGGGCTAATGATTATTTCTATTGTCGATTTATGTGTCGATTATTTTTTTGATTAGTCAACTAGCTGCTCAACAATTAATTGTCATAAAGTGGTGAAGTCTAAGATGACATCCTCAAAAGTGTAGCTTTGTCATAGAGGAGTAAAGAAAAAACAAAGAAAAATTCAAATTTAAGTCACTGGAATTAGAGTTTTCGATTTCATATAGAAAACTAATCCATTACTTTTTGTAGCCCTAGTCCAGAACCTATAAGAATGACATAAAACAGAAAATAGGCTGCATATCTGTGCATTTGGGAAGCTGGAACTGCTAAAGGTTTCGCATTTTGATTGATAAATGACTGCATGAAACAACTAAAACGTCTCACTGACTTCAGTTTTCTGTCAGTTGACCATTAAACCCTCTTTGGTTACTGTACAGTTATCAAGATTTCCATTCTGTCGCACTACACATGTGCAGTTAACACTGACAACGGTGGCATATTTACCAGTTGGAACTCCTTGTGCTGAAATTTCAGCAGGTCAAGTAACAACTGTACTAACAAGCACCAACACTGTGAGCTGGTATCAAGCTGACTCATTCCAAATGAGCAACATGGGTGGAAGATCAGATCAGATCCTTGGCTCAAGTGAAAATACAAAACAACAATGTAGAAGTACAAACGCACATAGAAGCAAGCTGTAGTTAAAGTGTTAAAGCTAAAGTTCTGGTTTCTCTGACTGATGTATTAATATATGTACCATCATGTGTGTCAGCAGCATGTTAGTGTTGGAGGTTTGAACTGCTTTATATCCAGTTTTATATACAGAGACAGACGATACATCTGATGATTAATGGGAGAGGATGGAATTAAAAAAAAACAACACACAAATCAGTCTAAAGTTGTCTCTAATCCTAGATTTTTGCTGAGGTATTGGATCATTTGAACGTCCATTCCTGTTCTTTTTATGGCTCTTCAAGTGCAACAGCATTATGTAACACTCACGTTCTCCGTCTAACTTTACAAGGGCCACAGCAGGTTATCTTTATAACTATTACGTACAGTTCGGCACACACCCTGTGTGTACTACGATTTGGGGACGATTATCCATCGTGCCATATCTGCACATGTGAAACGTGTCCATAATCTCTCATTATCTTTATTTTTTAAATCTTTATTCCACTTTTGCATTTCTTGTCTTCTAGCTGCTGTAACGTCTGAGTTTCTCTGGGGAGGGATCAATAAAGTTTATCTTATCTTGTCTTTATGGAAACTAAATCACATAAGTAGTCATTATTTTGTAGTTAAATCTTTAACAATATGTCGTATTTTAAAAGGTTGTTATATAATCTATTGTGTGAAATCTTCATTTTAGAAGTAACTGAAGCTTTCAGAGAAATGTGGTGGAGTAGAAAGTTAAAGATTTCCCTCTGATGCGTAGTGGAGGCGAAGTATAAAGTAGCAGAAAATGGAAATAGCACCTCAAATTTGTACTTATGTGCAGGACTTAAGTAAATGTACTTAGTTACTTTCCACCACAGATGACAACAGTGTACATGGATCCTAAAAAATGCACACTGAACAAAGCAATACAATCTACAGAGCTGACACTGGATTGTAGTGCTGCAAAGATACAAGTAAACGTGTTTTTAATTTAATGTCCACCTTGGTAGGGTTGCCAAGTTATGACTGGAGAAGTATTCTTTAGTGAATGATCTACTGACTGGCTGATGAATTGTTTCAGGTGAATCATGTTCTACATCAGGGGTGCTCAATCCTGGTACTCGAGAGCCCCTATCCAGCATGTTTTAGATGTTTCCCTCTTCCAACACACCTGATTCACATGATCAGGATCGTCATCAGGCTTCTGCAGAGCTTGATGATGAGCTGATCATTTGTGTGTTGGAAGAGGGAAACATCTAAAACATGCTGGATAGGGGCTCTCCAGGACCAGGATTGGGTACCCCTGTTGTACATAATCTGCAAAAGTTACTAAAAGTAAAGCGACGGTGCTTAAAAAAAGAATAATTCCCAGTTAGCTTGATACAAAGTGCAGCAAACACATGAAACCCCGAATCAAATCAGTATTCATGTGGCGTCTGTATGTGCATGTATGGATGTTTGCGCTCGGCCAGGCAGTGGCGGCTTCCTCTGCCTGGCTGTGTAGCGATCGGTCATGGCCAGGCCGGAGTCGGCCAGAGGAACAGAGAGGAACAAGTTAAGTGGGCACCCATGCTGCATTAATGAGGGGGATGGCAGAACCTGGCAACCCAAGCACGTAAAACCACAAGCCCCTGGAATGGCTTCAAAGGACTCGACTGGCTCATCAGCTGGCGGGGAGCTAACCCCATCTGACAAGACATGGCACCCACTCTGAGAGCGAGAGCACCTCCTCACGCCCCCACGCACTCCCCTGTGTGTGTGTTTTGTGTGTCTGCGTGGAAGCCAGACACATTTTTCCACGTGCATGAGAATGTGAAAATGTGTGCGT